TTATTTAATTAAATAACAATTATTTAGTGCATTACTACCATTAGTATCAAAAAAGTAGGGTTAAGTGTCATCAATAGTTGACAGCAAAAAAAAAGAAGACCCAGGTAAGGGCTTTATTTCTTGTTTTCCATGTTTATTCTTCATTTATTATTATAAAAGTAACTAAAATGTAAAAATGGGGATCTATTTAGGTTAGTTAAGGTTAGATTAGGTAAAATAAATAATAATATAATAAGAATGTTTCATGAGGCATGCACACAAGCAGCTCGGAGTAGCTTGTGGGTAATGGCACAAATAGTAGTTGAACATGGTTCAAAGGGCAATAAAACAATAAAATTTAAGTTTAAATAGATGTATACTGTGACGAGTTTAAAGATACTTAGGATAAATGAATGTAGTTTTTTGGGCGTAAACAGACAATATGTTGGCCTCTCAACATTCTGCCATACGTCATATCTTTGGGTGGAAACACGATATGTTGGCCTGGCAACAGTCTGCTTGGTATCGTATTGTAGTTTAAAACTAATGACAATACCTCTTCTTTACTTACATAGGTACATATGTAAGTTCATACTTCATTTTTAACATTTGGTGGTTGGCAATTTTCATTTAAAATATCAACATAATATGAATTCACACGTATGGGTTTTAAATTGAAGTATGTTATTAGGACTACATTTTATCCTGCCTTGTCATGGGTTTCACACAATGTTTTAGGTTTCCTGGTAAAACGATAATTTTATATCAATCACGGACATTTTATTAGCATTGTTCCAATGAGATGGTCGTGTGGTGCAAAAGATCAATTTACAGTACAATTATTAGTTGTTTTTCATTAATTATTACATATATATTTGAAATTGCAGCAAAATCTACTAATTTTTGACTGCAAACCATTGGTGTGTAAATTTTTGTATTTTTGCTATTAAAAAATTAATGAAAACTCCTACTACTAAGTACAATAAAAATATTATTATCTGTTCAACTGTGGGTTCTACTTGGCAATACTTTCTATCTGTATGATCTCATTGTATATTTTGGCCTATTGTTTACCACTGTTTTAGCAATATCTGCTGCTGAAAAGAAATTTAAAAAAAAGTTTTTTTCTATTAAATATTTAATTTTCATGTCACTGCTTGAATTTACAACTGGATTAGCTCTTCCAATATTCTGCTGTGGCTATGCTTTATATATGTGTATATGTATGTATCTACAACCATATTGGCTTTTCCAACTTTTTTTTTCTACTTGGCAGTACCCACAGCTGGTTTGGATCTTTACAACCTTTTTTATTGCAGTACCTACAACTAGCTTGGCTTTTACCTCTTTTTATTATTATTACTACATTTTTGTTTCTCTACTTGCCAGTACATGCAACTTGTACGAACACTCAAGCATTATGGATACATCCAGTTTGAACCCTGTGTTTGCAATTACCCAGAACCCAACACACAGGTAATCATTAGTGCTGGTGGAAAAGAGCTCAACTTCAGAATATCCAATGTCAGTGTAAGTTATACTTTACGTCAAATACTTTTTGCCATACTCACCCAACAAATGAAAGCATTCTAAATATAAAAAAATTTTTGATTTCTTGTTTCTTATTTTATAACTTTTCACACTGCTAATAATACCAGTATATAGAATTAGCTAAGTTATTTACTACATTAGTATTTTTCAGTTTAATGTAGATTAGCTTGATATGATCAAAAGTTACTTATAATTTTAAGTCACAAGGACAATTTGAAAATGCATCAGTCCAAAAGAAGTATTGTTTATATACCATAAAACACGTTGTCAATGTCAGAATCAAGAATTAGGAAGTTTAGATGGTATCAGTTGTTATTAGTCATCGTTAGAAACAGGAGAACAGATTTGAGGATGGTATTCGGGTGATTGCTATAATTTGTGCTACCAGCAGAGAACAATAGTTCATTAGGTATTGATCGAGTTCAAGTTAATCTTATAACCTGGGGTAACAGAGGACAATACATAACTTGATTGATATAGAGTTAAGATGAATAGTATAATCCTTATAGCAGAGAAGAATAGTTCACTACGTTGAAAATGGGTTCAGATTATTATTGCACCATGTAATAACAGAGGACACTAGTTCTAGATTGAGATGGTGTTCAAATGATTCTTCTACTATGTGGTAACTAAATATAATAACTCATTAAGTTGGGATAGAGTTCAAATGATTCTTATGATATGTGGTAACAAAAGAAATAACTCATTATGTTAAGATGGAGTTCAAATGATTCTCATAATATATGGTAACAGAAGACAATATCTCATTATGTTGGGATGGAGTTAGGCGGTTCTTTTAACCCTATATGTATGGGTGGGGGTCAAAATGCACATACCACAACCTTTTAACTCTCTCAACACTGGCTTGGTCAATTTGAACGACCACGTGACCTTTTTGTACTCTTTTAAAGTCTTTATAGCTTTGATACTACTAACTTTCAATGATTGGCAGATTTTCAGTAAACATTATAATTCTTTCATGTACAAAAAATCATGTTTTGTAGTGAAGTATTTTTAATAAACCAAAAGATTTGTCCATGAATATATTGAGTCTTTTTTTGACTAGTCCTCATGCAAAGTGATTTTCTTGTTAAGATTAAAAATACTTTTCTTACTCTCAAAAATCTCTCATTTCATTTGCGTAATCTCCAAAACCTCCTAGATACATTTCAAATGTTTGTTTTATCTGTTATTTTCTCTACCCTAACTCTATACAAGGTCTGTCAATTTGACCAACCTTGTAACCACCCCAAAAAAATTGAAATAAACCTTAATTACTGTTTTTTATTTCTAGAATGACTTCAAATTATAACATGGCGTAAACAGACAATATGTTGGCCTCTCAACATTCTGCCATACGTCATATCCCAAAGATATGACGTATGGCAGAATGTTGAGAGGCCAACAT